TCCTACTACCAAAGAGAAACACGCATTTTTTTTTGTATGGCAGCACTCCAAATGTTTACAAGTTGTCCCCAGTTAGTTAACAGCCATTAAAACTTTAAGGCAAGTTCATAAACCAGTCTGTCAATTGAAGTGTTACTTGTGAGGTTTAAGCCACAAGCTAAATGGTGGTGTTAGAAAGGGAAAAAAAAAACTCAATTTAAAACAGAGGGATGAAGTTTTCAGGTGTAAGATATAGACAAAGCAAGCTAGCGCCTCTGTCACCACTTTTGCAAAGCTTTTCAGGTTTGTTAAGCATATCATGCATACATATTCTTGGTGAATCAGGAAAACTACTCTGCTGGTGGCAGAAACCAGAGAATTTATTGTGTACTCATAGATATAGTAACTAACTTCTAAGCTGAGCCATAACCATTTAGTGGTGTAGTCTGCCAAGCCTGGAGTTGGCATTTCAGTTGCCCAAGATCCAGCTTTGTTTCCTTTACATGAGAAGGCTGTGCATTTAGTTTGATGCTACAATTTATTTTGTTTTCAAATATTTTCAGTCCATGTGCTACAAAAAGCAAGTTTAACCTGAAGGTTTACACCTAACACTGGAAGCACTGCAACTGATTCCTGGGGAGTGTGTTACCCCTTTTATAGACCAAGATAAATACAATAGAAGAGAGCAATTGAACTGCATTTTTCTATTTTTATTTTTCCAAGTCTGACAAAGGCCTCGAGTGAAAGTCTGTAGCTTTAACATCCATTCTCACCTTTGTGTCTGCTTGACCCAACTATGCAATAACTACCCAACATTCTGATTGCCTGCCTCGACCACAGGTAGGCTTTTGACACCTTTTTAATATATAACATTACAATAAGTAAGCCAACAAGTTGGCAAAGAAGAGTACAGAGGTAATACAGTTAGTTGCACATGGCCACCAGGACTTTGTCAAGCAAGCTGGCATTTTTGATCACTTGAGTTTCTTGGTCTAAAACTTGTGATTGGCACCTACAGGTCAGTGAAAGTCCCAAATCACAAAATAACATTTAAGTTAAAAAAACAAACAAACCCCAAAACAAAAACCACCACACAAACCAAACAAAAATAAACAAAAACCCCTACATTTATTATGTCAGTTCTACCTAAAGATCATGTCAAAAAAGTACTATTTGTGCTCTAGGTTAGTTTTTAATCCTAGATACCCTCTATCTAAAAGCCCCCTGAACACTGTACTTTGTCTGTTTGGACAGACAAATGTTTTGCTCAAGCAAATAAAATATACCCACTAGTGACACCTGATCAGGTTTCTTAGACCTATGAACTGAAACCCACAGGAATGTTAAAAAGGACAGACAGTCACACAAGTCATAAGGAATTAAAACCTCAGTGATTTTGAAAACTGCCAGTTAGCCTGCAACATTAAATCTAGAATCCAGCACTATTCTGAAACAATTAAAAAAAAAAAAAAAAGAGGAAAAAAGAAATGAGGTTGTTTGTGAAGGCCAGAGCTTTGGTGACAATCAAAACCAAATTTAAAGATTTGTAGTTTGTCCAGACCTAAGCAGTTGCTCGAGCCTGGTGATCTTGTTTATTTGCAAGGCTTTATGGCTACAGCACATTCTTCATTCATTGCACATATAACCGATATCTAGAAGAAGAAAAACAAAGAAAAGAAAGTGTTAACAATGAAGTACACAAGTACTCAAAACTGGGTACAGGACCATTTCCCCCCACCCCCATGGTCTTTTTCCTCTGTTGCCTTATTTCTTTCCTTCCTTGATACCCCCTTG